TGATGACTGATGAAAATATTGTGAATGTCATTTACCATCATTCAACCAATCAATCCGTCCGCATTATTTTTCGATGGCTGTCCATTATTTACTGCGTTTGTTGTGTACTGCATGGACCAGTGGGTTACTGTAATAGAAAACTGATCATATTCGATAAGAAAAAGAGCTTATATGAACTAGTGTAGCGGTAGTTTATTTCGCTGATAATACAACCAAACAGTGACGCCCATATAGCTTGATTTTTTGCAGCAAAAATATGCACGTGCATGATTTTTCATTAAATTATTCGATTCTTCTGGGAAATCACGGCTTTCGGATTGGTGCCCTTCCCCACCATAGAACCTACGTCTTGAGGTCAGTGAAGCCTTGGTCCTTGCTGTTGCCAGCTTTGCGCTATCATCAATTCATTTAGACTCTAGTCAAAGCATGATTAGGCTACAGGTTTGCCTGACAGGCGTTGCGAAGACAACTTTGGTTGATGTTGGAATTTTTTAGAGTGAGATTCTCTGTTTGACGAGGCGAGAAGACTTTTTAGCGATGAAATGCGTATTGCTAAAAAGATGCTCAGCAAACTCGACTGAACATCGGTTAAGGCTTGTGTGGGAAGAAAGAGGATCCTTCCAGTCAAATGAGACATTTTCATGAATCATCTTAATTGATATCACAATATTCGCATGCGGTTCACGACTGGTCTTAAATAGTTAAGTTCAAAACCGCGCACGGAGACCTTATTCCGAATATAAATATGAGATATCGCACATGGTTGCTCAACTCAGTTCTGCTGTTTACCATTTTGAGGTCTTCTTCGACTCATGATTTGATGTCTTTATGGGTCAACTGTGATATAAAAACAATGTCTCACTTAGAGCAGATCTAAATATGGACAAAACATGAAAAGTGTCAAAAATATATCAAACTTCGGATACTCCTGTTATTTCAATTCACCCTCTTGTGCGAAACGAAGAAGAATTACGGAAGTGTAGAATTAAATGATTGATGTTCTACGACGAATCGGGAAATGTGGAACGTTCCAATAATGGAAACCTCACTCGTGCAACCTAAATGATATTGTCATATGAATAAGTTGTCACATTTAGCAACTAAGTAGAAAAATTGTGGATTGTTTATATGCGGCTCCAGTATGTTAAACTGTATCATTAACAATATCAACAAGTTTATCAGCAGTATCCATCAACTGCATCGTTATCATGTCACCCCAATCTTTTTTCTCATCTTCTTTCTAATTATAACGAATGCTATAATGTGAAGACGGACAAGAACGTGTTGAAACATGTGTGAACGTATATCATATCATATCATCACTGCAACGGCAATTGTCAATCAAACCCGCATGATCGGTAACGGGTGCATGTGCACCCAGGAATGGGAATCGTGGAAGTGGGCGTTTTTTGAGAGAGTGCGACAGAAAGACGACACAACCTGACACCCGTATTTAAGTGCTCAATTCTGGAGAGTCGCGTTAAACTTACAGCCTCTTCCTAACAACTTCGGTGACACTTTCAAGTTGATCAGCATGTTTTCCTGAGATCCTGTGTGTCTTGAAAGGGCCGCACGATTTCTTGTGTTTGCTCACCAGGTTTACGTTTTGCTTCATTTCGTGCAGCTGTCTGAAGAACATCTCAAAAATTAGTTATTTGTTTAGCTAGGGTTAAAGAGAAAGCTTGCTAAGATAGAGTTCGATAGACAATTGGCCCGTTCTTGTCACAAACCAAAAATGCTTACAACCATATGCCAAATTAGGTTAAGATTTCGACCGCAACGCAATAATCTTTGAGGAACATGTTTCCCCGATTCGCACCATGCGTCACACCACATGTTTTGCGCTGGATCCTTAGAAACTTCATGTTCCTCAATCAGTATCCCACGCTTTCTCATTTAGCATATGTCAAGTTCAAAATAATTATGTAGTTGAAGAGATTTTATGATTGTAAAATCCGTATTCCTGCACACTTGAGCAATTGGTTGGTGACCAGAATTAAATTTGTCTAAACTCTTAATTCACTTGAATCTTCAGTCGTTTTCATACTGCTGTTTCCATATTAATATTTTTCTTTGTCAACGACCACAAATATCTCAATTTCACTGCATATCGCTTTTATCATCACTGACTGTTCTCGATGTGCATCAGCTCACACTGATCTATCTGTTATCTAATGTTTATCGCAAGCCAATTACCTTCGCCTAAGCCTTATGAATGATGATACGCTAGCTGCATAATTCTGTGCGATTCCTGTTCTGGAAATGGTCATCAGCAGCAAATGAGCGTTCTCTTTGGAATGCAATGATAGTTCATTTCGAAGTTCCCTTAAATTGCACACGAGCTCAACAACAAAAACAATCTTATTCGCGTAGCGTAACAGTACATACCCCTTTTTGTCATCAACAAGTCATTTTGAAATGACACATCTAGTTGAATGATTTGACGAATGTAATTAGGGTGGTGCTTGGCAAACAGTTTTCGGAACACAAAGGAACGCACCTTGCCGCTTCAGTCAGCGATCAAGAAACACATTCGAATGAAACATCGCAGTCCAGTGGCATTGTTTGCGATGCTATTCGTTTAATGCTTCGAAAACATCGCAAGCCGAAGACCAAAGAACATCAAATTGAGACGTTTGAGTTGCAGCTACCGTAAGAAAATGTACCATGAAGGCTAACCACTCAATCAGTTACAATAACAGACAGTAATGTTGCCAAGTTGATCGACGCGAATAAATGCTTGATTCATTAAAACGCTGCTCATTTTGGTAACTATCACAATAATAATGTATTTGATGCGACGATTGTAGCTGTGAAATTCAATGTTAGAAATGTTCGAAACCCATTCCAGACAACTTCAGTGAGAACAACGACCGAAAACAATCCAGCAAAAACAACACCACCATCATGTTTGCCGAGCTAGTGCTTGCCTTCATCATTCTAGCCCTGCTATGGCTACTTGTGTAAGTTGTTTCATTTTGGCACTTCCATTTGCATTGTTGTGTTTGAAAATTAGTCATTTTTAGACACAACTCCGCATTAAACGGTGATCATCGGGAATGACTGAAGTGGTTATGATCATTTTACAGTATATTTTCCATATCCACAGCCGTCCTGTTTCAGAACATTCAATTAGATCTTTTGGATCATTTGTTGCAAGACTGTTCAGTTTTGGAAGAACAAGGCACGACACTTCAAAACACAGCTATGCTATCAATGGTATATAAACCAAGAATTATGTATACTGGCATAGTCATAAGAAAAATACATGATTCTCAAGTTCTCATTGGTAGGGACTGATTAATACTAGGCCAATTTCCATCGTTTCATTCACAAACATCACCACGATATTCAACGACTAACGGCGCAAAGCAACACGATGAGATCAGCTAATGAGCCTGAGAACAAAGTGTAGAAACTCTCCTGGATCTCTCGCACAACATCGGTAGCCATCGTTTCAGCTGACTAACTGGCATACTGCACATGAACACTAGGTCAAAAAACACANACACAAAATTTTTCGTGAAAATTCATTATAATTTTGTAACAAACAACAAATGATGCAAAACTGATGGAAGAAGTCCATATCCATACGATACTTCAAAAATAGAATCATTCACTGATTGCGAGATCACTGAGAAATCACTGAGAAAAGAGCGAATGCACTAAGCAAACGACGATATCAAATAATGAACTGAAAGTGCGCGTCACTTCAAAGCAGTTTTTCTTCACATTTTAACCAGAAACTGCATCTGTTTTGTTGCTTTATATTGAACTCAAGTGAACTGAGCTGAAATGGCCTAGTGAACACAGCAAGGGTAATAAGGAAGTGATGATGTTGATTGGGTAATGAGGCAAAAAACCAGATTGGAACGACTTTTGATGATGATTGTTCTCTCAGTTTGAGTAAGTATTTATGATTAACTGATAACAACACCATTAACGACACTGCGACTAATGCATCTGTCGTTCCTTCGACTCATCAAGCACCATGCATTCACGTGTATTTGCACACACATAATCAGAAAAACAAATCTAGTGTTGTATGAAATTGATAAAATTGATGAAAACATTTGCTGGGCGACTTTTTCAATTCGGACTCGATAGAAAACGTCTCCGAAACGTCAGTAATAGACACAACGCAGCAGCTAGCATGTTGCTAAGCGTCATTATTGCCCATTGACATTAAAACTTTCCATTTCGGGCACTAGACCAAAAGTCACTATGTCACTGGCGTTCCTTTCATTATTTTGGTTGTTGATTGATATGTTTGTGGCAGTGAAGGTAACTGATCGAAGATCAGTCGGTGAAACCGAAGAATTTCGGTCGTAATTTCGACATTCGGATTCCCACCGAAGGAGTTTGAAAATCAGATTTCAGAATGCCGAAAAGTCGATTCGATCGGTTTCCGGCCGAACCGAAATTTCGCCTGGATATCGTCACTAGTTTGTGACATTCAAAAATTGTTTTCACATGAAACAATTGGGTGATTCATTATGTATCAGATGAAATGTCAAGAAACTGATGTTTTGTGTGGAAAATTTCGTGCAATGAAATGAAGACGTTCCATATATTGTTGATGAATTTGTTATTGTTCACCAAATAACTCTATCAGTTGATGTTCATTATCAAACTCTATCAGTTGATGTTCATTGTCATTGGAGATTCAAAGTCCCTCTCTGATTCGTTGATCAGTGGTTATTGATCAATTTTGCTTGATCGCTTCAATTCTCCTTGCTCCCTCAGACACGACAATGCCAACGTTGTTATTGCTGCAAGTTCTTGACATTCAACGAACCATCAATGGCTAAGATTACGGTACTTGTGCACTGGCTGCGTCGTTACACTTACCGTATTGTCAGTGTAGCAGAAGAGCAAGAAACTAAGAGAGCCATATAAAGGACTAAAATTTCAGCGATCGACTCTTGAAAGTAAGGGAACGTGCTCGATTGGGACTATGCGGTCCACCAGCGATGCTCTTATTCGGAAATCTCCATCAGATGGGATCCATCATGGCAAAGGTATGCCACTGTCAATATCATCGTTTTGTTAGTTTCCTCTGTTAGCAAATGAGGATGAGAATCTGCTAGTTGGGGCAGTTCGACCGCTTGTATAAAACTTTCGATTTTTTGTGCACGCAAATTTTTTCACACTCGCCGACTGCTATCATTTGCTTCCTTATATTGGTGACTTTTTCTCGATGTAGTGTTTGGTGAATTTGTGATCCTCAAATCTCGTTTAGAACGGCAATTTACTGTACAATGTATTCGAAGAATGGAAAATGAAGTATGGTAAACTGTACGCTTACTTTATGGGACCGCGGCTTTTTGTTATTGTTGAGAATTTGGACACTGTGCAAGAGGTGCTCATCAAACGTTTTGACTGTTTCACGGATCGAATGGTTTGTAAAGATTTCATTGATTGCCAACATCTTCAACACTTTCATAGGGTGTGTTTGGGATCGATCGTTAAAAGGGTTGACAGTGTAAAGCCAACGAGATTTTGCTCCCTGTCTGCAACTTATGATGTGCGTTGCAAGGTCTGCGAATTCACAGCTGAACATAGCATAAACATGTGCAAATATCACAAAGATAACTTCACATAATTAACTTCCGTGGACAACGACTGTTCTCACAAAGACTTAATTCGTACTTTGCTTGATAATGTGGACTGAGAATCCGTTTTAGGTGTTTGAGATGTTTGTTGTTTGCAGTATCCGAAATTTTTCGCTCACATATTCGCCTTCATATAATTCGTTCAAACAAAAGTGTCGTTTTTGATTTCATTATCGAGATGACAAACCCAGGTGCACACATTCAATTCAGGAACTCGATTTTATTAGCGGTGCGCTAAGTTCAAGTTTGGTGGCAAGCAAAGGAGAGCAATGGAAGCAAATGCGTTCCTGCTTGACACCGACATTTTCCACAGGAAAAATCAGAAAAGTTCGTTGCTTAAGTGTCAGTCTTCTACTAAAATCATTCTCAATACCTCATCTGCTCTGATCAGTAGATCAACATATCAGCTGTTCATTCCAGGTGATTGAAATAACAGCGGGTTATTGCAGTCACTCTGACGGTTAAAACAAGTAGGTAATTTATGTTGTGTGCCTGAGCAATCAGATTAACACAGGCACCGTTTTTTTTTCAGATGAGCTC